TGGTTAAATGAGATTGTTGCTGGATTTTCCTTCAAAGTGACAAAAATGGAGGTCGTATGAAGAATAGAATGACATGTTGCTTTTCAAAATTGTTATTTAAAGATTATGACAGATTATTGAATATCATGTACTGAATTCAATATTCGTGATTGTTATTTATAATAATTTTCATATCTAGTAACAAAATTAGTATGTTAGATTATAATAAAATGGTTTGGTCACAAAATATGCAAACTATTCTTAAACATAACATGACAATAACGGCTTATCATGACAAACTTATTTGACAAAACCATTTCAATACAAGAATCCCATATTTGACATTATGACAAACTATTACAAGAAGATCGTTTGTCACAATTATACAGTTTGTCACAACAGCGTTTCAAAATTTGCAATTATAGTGACAAAATTTGACCTTGTTATGACAAAAATATCTCTTTATTGCAATAAAATATTTTGTCAAAATAGAGCGACAAGATATTAAAAATTGGTCACAATAAAGTTGTTTTGATGAGATAGTTTTGACGAACGTTATGAGAAATTTGGTCCTAGTATGACAAAACGTTGCTATTATAATCAAAGTTCAAAAAGGCGCTAGGAGTAAGATGAGCACTTGGCTCCTGACTTTCCTAGCCCGATTAAGCGTAGACTAGGCGTTCATAGCAGAAATGGATTTTTTTTTTCAAATGTGATATATTTTCTAGAATACTTCATATGATCCCAAGTTCATCTAAAATTAAAAATGCCTAATTCTTAACGGTCAACACTTAACATAACAAATGACAAGCAATTAGTGATCATTTCCTAGAAGGAAAAAGACAAACATGATGTATTGCTTGATATGTAATTGTAAAGCATTTTACTAAATTAGTCAGAGATGGCAGACAGTGGTCGAGCGATGATCTACTCACAGTTGTTGCCGAGCGATCAATTTCTCTCTCACCAGCGGCCGATCCAGCGATGAGCTCCTTCCCCAACTGACCAACATCAGTAAGCCAGAGCTGAATAAAGAATGACTGAATGTGTAGCACCTAGAGCCTGGAAGAGGGCGAGTATCGGCCTAGAGCGGCCGGTGGAGGAAGACGGACAAAGGGTTTGATTTTGACTGAGATTTTTCAACTTTTTGCGTGAGAATTGTTTTCTAGGAAGGGAGATGAAAAACAGGGTCGTTCAGCTCTAACTAGTAGGAAAAATTTAGCGGTCCAAGACAGTCGCTTAGTCGCTATATGCGCCGATTAGGCGTCATTAATCCTAAATTAAGTGCGCCCAACACTTTATGCAACACTTTTGCCAAAAGCAAAGCGCTCTTCCGGCGCTTTGTGATTAATCAAACCTAGGCGTTCGCCTAGGCGCGCTTTCTTGAACCTGGTTATCATATTCAAAAATTGTTGTAATGAGATCTCTATCCAATATAAAGCTAATTATTAAAAATAGGCCAGTTTTATATATTGCAATTATTATCACATTTCACTACTGACAATTTATTGCTTATGAGTATCTCATACAACAAACCAACAAAGTGATCTTGTACCATACACTAATTCTATCTAATTCTGAATCGAGAACAATCAGAAGATAAATGGAGTGATCCCGTGACATCCCTATCAAATAGTTGATTTGAGGTCTCGAAATATTTACCATAAGTAAGATAGACTAACGATAAAGTTGCGTGACAGTAAAGATTTGAGAGTTGCGGATCCCAATTTCGAATCCAAGCGAGACCCGTTAATGTTCTCGGAGATATAAGCCTCTTGTGGGCGAAGCCCCGTTGGCGTCAAATTAATTGCAAGTGGCCCCTAAATTTAGTAGGTCATGCTGAATATTGGTCGAACACACCACTTGTCCACTAGTCCGTTACCGCCAAGTGCCAAAAGACAAATGCCCTTTTATTGATTGGCCTCGAATTCCGGACAGGTATCATCAATTGGGAACTATAATTGATGAGTGAAGTAGTTCAATCTTAAGAATGAGAAATAGGGTAGGCGATTGGATGGTTGGGTTGGTTTCAATCTTAGACAAATGTATCAATTCATTCATCACTCCATTAACCAATTAAAGAGAATTTTTTTTTAATCGATATAATCAATTGTTTGTAATTTGAATCTCAATAGCTAATGAACATTATAGAACTTGGAAACCAATACTAGTAGTCTATTATTCTTTATTTTCCACTTATAGAAGTCAATGATCGGTGTGTGGTGAGGTTAGAAAATAGGACGATCCTTTGATAGTATAAAAAAGAAACAACTTTTCCATGTGAAAATAGACTGTGAGTCATTCAGGTCAAAACCCCACATCACCGACCTGAATAAGTGCGGGTAAGATGTTTGAGGATCCATCATCCATCCACACCAATCACCCACCTACAGTAGAGTGGATCAATGTGAAACCGCGATTTAACCATCTACATACTCACCCTAATAAGGAATTCACTGAAAAATATCATAATTGATCAATAAGACTCGTGGTTGATATATACACTATGCAGTCTCTCCATAGGATAATTTTTTCATAACTAGCAAATCATAGCCACAAACAGAATTCTAGTAAAGTTATACCATGGCAACCCTACATTTCAAAGGTGATTGATTCATTGGAGAGCATCCTTCACTCGTTGCTTGGATTTGGATTTTTGTCTTGAAAATGTGTCATGGCATTCCTACCAATAACTAAACACGACGATCCTTGAGCCATAAAAAAGTTTACTTATCTTTTTTCAGCCGACCAAGAAATTATTCAGATTTTGATGAGCGAAAGGACAAACGAACGAACGCATTATTGAAATGGATAGTTCATGTCACTCACCTACCTTGTCTACCCTCATCTGCCTTCCTTGTGCACGTTTTAAAGTTCCCAACTTCTTTTCTGGCTTGTGCTACCTGTTTTTTATACTTCTCTCTTGTTCGTAGCATTAAATTTTAGCGCATCAAATTTATTTGGAATAATCGAAAATAGCGAAATCTCACGAGCATTATTCATTATGATGCTCTCATTTTCTTATCTAAGTGAAACCCACTATTTCTATACGTTAAACCTTGATAAAGTCTGAGTGACGGGTCTCAATTTATATATAGTCTAAAAAATAAAAGAACATTCCTAGCATAGGCGGAGCCAAGGCCAATTCAATGTGTTCCGGGACACAGCCAATGTTTGGATAAAATAAAATACCCATATATATGTATCAATTAAGGATTGCACTCATCACCTTTAGATAATATAAAATTGAATTATCACTACACTACAAATTATTTCAAGTTGAAAAACTAACATAAACTAATTTATCACACTATAAACAAAATTCAAAATACTGAAAAATCGATCTCTCTGTCGACTGTAGTTAGTTTTGAGTCTACTCATTGCAACTGCAAGTGTAAAGAGAACATTTTCAGCTTTGAGCTATATCAAAAACAAGTTTCAAAGTTAAATTGCGACCAATTTGCTAATTGTTGTTTAGACGGATGCATTGAGAATTTGAAAAGGTGTTGTAAGTACTCATGAAAATAATGATTGTGTTAGTCTAGTATTTCATTAATATTTATCAATGAATTATTTTGATATTATTAATTTTAATTATATTAATTATATATTTATATTATGGAAAGAGAACACAGGTACTTTCAAACTCTGGCTCCGCTACTGATTCATAGAGCTTCGATTTACCGTATCCTAATAAGCATGAACATGCTGAGCTAGGCCAGCATCCAGGATTCTAGGGGCATCATCACCCTATTGACAGGCATGAAAAATATCTTAGTATGGGCATGCATAATACAAAAACTGTCACACTGATACGTAGTGCCAGTGGATTACTAAGTCACTGTCCCTTAGTGTGTGGTACAGTTGGGCTGACGTTACCCAATTTCCTCTTTCTTTGGGCTTTCCGTATGGCATAGCAGTTAAGGGTATATATGACAGGGCCCATGTGAGCCCACTTCTCACAGTCGGTTAGTAGTGCATCTTTCAAAAAGGTTAACAGTACAGGCTACGGATTAGAGAATCCATGGTTAACTGGACTTCCATCTGCGTATGGGAACAAGAATTTCCATACCAGCAGAGTGTAGAAATCATAAACAAACGGTTTCTCCCAAAATTATTAGGTCATAAATAATTTATGGGAAAGAATGTGTACAAAATCAATATCTATAAAATCTATATCTTACCACTTTTAATATGAATCTTATCATTTTTGTTCTTGATACGATTATACTATAAATAGTAAGACACGAATCTAATTACCATCCATTAAGTTTGCATGGATTTTATGATTACGTATGCTTTCCAATCCCTCCTACCTGCTTAAGCTTAGCTTCTTCATAATAGTATCCGCACTAACTACTTGTCTTGAGTGACCAACCACATCCCACGAAACTTCTAAAGAGATTTGCTCAGCCTGGAAGAAAAAAAGTAAAAACAGATCCTACTGACACAAGACTCCCTCGCCGATTGCCCCACACAAAGAAACAACAGTGCCCCAACGAACAAGAGATTGGTCAAATGTGGTAATACCACTAACATTGAACATGAAGGTTACAAATTCGAATCACTTTATTAGTATCTAATCACAAAAAAGTAACATTATCACCTTTATAAAAAAAAAACAGTGTCGGAGCTACTTGTATTTCAGAAGACAGTATAACCCTCTTTATATTCAATCAAAATTTAAAATATGCGTAATCGAGAATTGAGAAATCGTAACGTATTGATGGTTCGAGCAGAAAAAAACTTCACATTGAAGGCTACACTGGTAGGTGGTATTTAGCGTACAATATGGAACAATTGAACCATTATTAAACTACGATGTTAGTATGATTTCACAGTATCTTAAAAAGGAAAAAAAAAAAAAAAAATTAATTGTCCATTCCCTCCAGCATTTTGATTCCATCGAAAAAGATAATTACAGTTTACCATTTTCCCCTACTCATGAAACCAATCAATCATAAACCACAGTCGCTACCCCCGCCTATATAAACCCTTACCATGCTCCCAACAATCATTCCCTCTAACCCAGCCGAGTGAGTGAGTGAGAGAGCTTCTTTCACTCACCCAAAAGAAAACAAAAACAAAAAATGGCGTCCATATTCCTCCTCCTAATCCTCCTCTCCCTCCCTGCCCTCTTCCTCTTCCTCCTCCTCAACCGCCGCAGCCAGCCCAAGTACCGCCTCCCGCCGGGCCCAAAACCCTTGCCCATCATCGGCAACCTCCACATGCTCGACACCTCCCAGCCCCAGCGCCAGTTCTACGACCTCGCCAAGCAGTACGGCCCCCTCATCTCCCTCCGCCTAGGCTTCGTCCAGGGCCTCGTCGTCTCCTCCGCCAAGATGGCCAAGGAAGTCATGAAGTACCACGACCTCGAGTTCTGCAGCCGCCCCAACCTCCTCGGCCAGCGCAAGCTCTCCTACGACGGCTTCGATGTCGTCTTCGCCCCCTACAACGACTACTGGCGCGAGATGCGCAAGATCTGCACCCTCCACCTCTTCAACTTCCGCCGCGTCCAGACCTTTCGCCCTGTTAGGGAGGAAGAAGTGACGCGGCTCATGAAAAAGGTCCGTCTTTTTATTTTTGTCTTTTCTCTTAAGGTTTGGTATAGTAGTAATACTAGTAGTAGTCCGTCTTTAACCTGAAGATCTCATATTTATTTATAATCAACCACATGCATAATTTTTTTTTTTTTTTTTGTTATTTTTCTTTTGACGTACAGGTGACGGGCAACGTGGAGAGCGGGAAGCCGGTGGATATAAACGACATGATGATGTCGCTGACGATCTCGATCATCTGCCGGGTATCCCTGGGGAAGAAGTACGACGACGACGCCAAGGAGAGGCAGCACTTCATAAACATGCTGATGGAGTCGCAGGCCATGTTCGGCAACTTCTTCTACGGCGACTACTTCCCCGGGATGCGGTGGTTGGACAAGCTCAACGGCATGGTGGACAGGCTGGACAGGAACTTCAGGGACCTCGACACCTTCTACCAGGAAGTCATCGACCAGCACCGCGACCCGAACCGGCCCAAACCCGAGACAGAAGACATCATCGACGTCCTCCTCAGGATCAAGGAAGGGAGGGAGTCCTCCATTGACCTCAATTGGGACCACATCAAGGGCGTTCTCATGGTACGTACGTGTGTTCACTTTTTTCTTATTTTCATCGCGTAACAAGGACTTGGTCTGATGGTACTATCACTATTCGGCAGAACGTGTTCATCGCGGGGACGGAGACAAGTGCGGCGACGGTGATATGGGCCATGAGCTTCCTCATCACCAACCCACCAGCACTGAAACGGGCCCAGGAGGAAATCCGCGCCCATGTAGGAAACAAGGGGTTCGTCGACGAGGACGACGTGCAGGAGCTCGCTTACCTGAAGGCAATCGTGAAGGAGACATTCCGGCTGCAGCCGGCGGTGCCGCTGCTGGTCCCGAGGGAGACGGTGCAGGACTCTCACATCGGCGGCTACGACATCCCAGCGAAGACCGTGGTGTTCGTCAACGCGTGGGCCATCGGGCGGGACCCGGAGGCGTGGGACCGGCCCCACGATTTCTACCCGGAGAGGTTTCTGGGCAGCGACGTGGACTTCAAGGGGATGGACTATGAGCTCGTCCCGTTCGGGGCGGGTCGACGGGGCTGCCCCGGGATCCACATGGGCGTTGCCACGGTGGACCTCGCGCTGGCCAATCTGCTGTACGGGTTCGACTGGGAGCTGCCAGCTGGCACGAAGAGGGAGGACGTGGACTTTGACGTCCTGCCCGGGATTACCATGCACAAGAAGAATCACCTGTGGCTCGTCCCCAAGATTCCGGCTGCTTAAGGGGGTTCATTACGTGCAGACGTGGCAATATATAGTTAAAACGTTGTCGTTTGGTAGGATGGTCAAGACTCGAAATGACAATCCTTGTTCTTGTTGTTGGTCTATTTATTATATGTTTAAGGTTTACTGTTTTTATTTCAAAAGGTTAAGGTTTATTGTTGTCTTTTTCTGTTTCTCCCCCTCTTGAATACAAGGCAATCATGGATACATAGTCTCCATTTGCTTTTTGGTTTCAATAAGAGATGGGGTCATGTTGTGATTGAAAATCTTGCTACCGTGGAAATTAAATTAATTAATTTCCCTTCATGTTCAAATCTTTTGTTCATTCGCGCGTTGTATACGTATACTTGATTTTCTTTTGTTAATTTGTTATGAAAATTAGAAGCTAAACATGTATTCAAGCATTAGTAAGTTGGACAAAATTTAATACGTCGTGTTAGTGATGTGATGTTAAAAGTATAATTATCTACAAAATTGTATGTAGTCATGATTAATATAACTAAATGATCATACAAAGATGATGGGAATTAAAGTAAAGGTGTCACACCTAGTGGCTAGATCAATAGATATGTCACGTTTTGAAATGGGGTTTTGTTTGGCACACCTAACAAGTCCAAGCAATGGCAACGTGCTAGCTATACGCTCCAGTCCAGTACTTCACCCAACTTAATTGTTTGTTTCTCTGATTGCTTTTGCGGGCATCTTTTTTCTTCTACTTTTTCTTGCATGAATACAGATATTTCCAAAAACCAACACCGTTATGGGGAATATAAGGACATTATTCTTGGACCCCTTTTCTAACACATTTAGACAGAATTGTTACAGAAATGGTCCATCTCACCTACTAAAGATGCAAATGGTTGGTTAATTAGTAAAAGGGTTAATTGTATGGTTGGTCACTGAGATTACAAAAAAAACGTTTATATTTGGTCACTGAAAATATTTAAATCCATTGGTGGTCACTTAGTTTAGTGAAATCGTTCACATTTGATCACTATCCGTTAGTTGCCGTCCATCTCCGTTAATGTAGTCCGTTAAGTGCTGACGTGGCGGACGGAAAGGTCTAATCAGCCCTATTTAACCCGAAAATAGTGAGACCTGACCCGCCACGTCAATAAAATCCGCCATGTCATCTGACCAACCCAACTCTCTAACCAGACCCAACCTTTGAACAAACCCGCACAAACTAAATCCCTAAAATCTCAAACACATCTCCACCTATTCCCCTTATTCAATCGTTAGCCTCCTTTGTACAGACTTTCTTCCTCCATTCCACTGTCCATGGACAAAGGGGAAGAAAAAGCAAATCACCAGCACAGCAGCCGCCGAATAACTCAAGAAAAAAAGGAGTAAAGCATTTGGGCCAGATTCATTCATATAAAAAGGCATATATTTCAGATCTCTCATTTCCCCTCCATGGTAACAACCCCTACCCTAGCTCGCCAACCCCTGAATTCTTTGTTCTCCGGCGAGGCCGAGAAAATCAGCGGTGGCAGTGCAATCCGGCCAGATCCAGCAATTGATGGACACCTTCATGCGATTTGACATGGACTCCGAATGCAATATCACCCACCCGGAGCTGGCCGCCCTCTTCCGCTCCCTCGGCCTCAAGCCCGCCGACGACCAACTCCACTCCATCCTCTCCAACATTGACGCCAACGGCAACGGCTACGTCGAGTTCGACGAGCTCATCTCCGCCATCCTCCCCTACATTAACGAGGAGGTCCTCATCAACTAGGAGAAGCTCCTCGAGGTCTTCCAGTCCTTCGCGACTACATCATCGCCATCAAGCTCGCTGGATCCATGGCCAAGATGGGCCACCTGCTCTCCTACAAGGAGCTGTCGGAGATGATGTGTCAGGCCAATACCAATGGGGATGGCGTCCTTAGTTTCCACTTTCCAGGAGTTCGCCAACATCCTCGCCAGATCCGCCGCTTAAGGGGGATAAGTGGAGATCTGTTTTTAGATTTTAGATATTTAATTTGTGTGGGTCGGTTCAAAGGTTTGGTTTTGGTCTAGTTAGAGGGTTAGATTGGTCTAGATGACATGGCGGGTTTCATTGACGTGTCGGGTCTCACTATTTGCGAGTTAAATAGGGCTGTTTAGATGTTTCCGTCTGCCACATCAGCACTTAACGGACTTCATTAACGGAGATGGACGGCGACTAACGAAGAGTGACCAAACGTGAATGGTTTTACTAAACTAAGTGACCACCAATGAATTTAAATATTTTCAGTGACCAAACATAAACGTTTTTTGTAATCTCAGTGACCAACCATGCAATTAACCCATTTGTAAAATGATACATCCCACCTACAATTGACCTAGTTCAAACTCAACGGTTAGAAAATGAGTTGGGTTCGAGTTTGACTTGTTTAGTACAGCTTTTGGTTAAACTCAAACATAGGCTCGAATGATTAATGAACTTCCAAGGCCTAGTTGCGTTCAAATCGTTCATGAGCTTATATGGTTTAACTCCTAAATCAAACTATAAAGTAAATTTTCAATTAGATACTCTAATATTTGTATGTCATAGATAATGCATGATATTAATGTCGTGATGGAAATAAAAATATAATAGGCAGTTTCTCTTCACTAATTGGTACTTTTGGGTGTGGTATTAATCCGCCTAATACGACAAACAACTACGTCGTCAACGGGCCCAAGTCCATCGCTCCACACATCTTTTTGGGCCCAAGCCCACGAAAGGAAGCCCAAGACTCCTATAAAAGGAGACTCATGTCTCCAAGACAAAAGATCCTCTCTTCCCTTCCCACACTCTCCACCTACGGTTCTCTCTCTAAACTCTCTCTCAATCTTCACCTACCACTATTTCCTATATTGTACTAATTTGGCGTCGGACTCCAAGTCAAAAGATCCTCTCTTCACCTACCACTATTTCTTATATCGTACTAATTTGGTCGTCGGAGCGTAGATGCCGAGGGCCATCCCCTCCACCTCACATATTCCTTGCCTCCCAAAGGGATCGAAAAAGAAGTCCAGATCAAGCCCCCATTTATTATCATTTTAAGCCCTGGGGTACGTTCTAGGGTGAAATAGGTACAGTTTTGATATTTTAAGTATACGTACTGAACCCACCCGAATATGTATTGTATCTATGTTTTAGATCGACTCAGTTTAACACTTAGAACATACTCACTTTAACATTTCGATCATCTATATCCCTCAAATATTTTAAATCTCTTAGTCCTCCAATCTTGCTCATTTTCTATTAGTTTTACAAAGAACCTAACAAAGAAACTCAATTAACATTGACACTCTAAGGAAGAAAAAAAATTGTATCATGAACTTCAGGGATGATATATAGAAAACCGACCCCACCCAAACTCATTGTCATCCCTAAACTCGACTCGTTAAATTAGGAGCCGAGTTTCGAAAAAGTATTTTCCAGGCCGAATATCCAGTCGTTCGCTTGGCTCATTTCAGCCCCAGTCACACCCACCAATAAACCTGCAAATGAACAAAATCGCTTGCGAGCAGCTCAACGATTGGGTCGAGAAATACTTGTTCAACATTCGACTCGTAATTTAATGAGCCAAGTCATCAACCAACTTGATTATTAGTGAATGAATCAAGCTTGAGCTAGGCTCTACTCAGTCTTTTAGGCTCACAAGCTAAGTTCAAGAACTGGATCTTGAAGATATTGTTACCTGTCAGGTCCTCTTGCTGCAGATATGTCCCCTCTTTCTTTATCTCAGCAGCACTTTGCTATGACACTTTTGTCTAATCAAGAGCCATCCTCTTATGCTGAAGCAGCTAAGGATGAACGATGGAATAATGCTTTGGATGATGAAATATATAGTCTTGATCTTAATAACACTTGGGAGATCACTGACTTGCCCGAGGGAGTGAAGGACCATTGGCTCTAAATGGGTCTATAAGACAAATTCCTTCCTGATGGATCTGTGGAAAGGTTCAAAGCTAGAGTGGTTGCTAAAGGACACACACATGTATATTGTATTGATTACTGTGATACCTTTTCTCCTGTAGCTAAGATCACCTCTGTAAAAATGCTCCTTGCTATTGATGACATTCAAGACTGCCATTTGCATCAAATGGATGTGAATAATGCCTTTCTCAATGCCGATTTAGATGAAGTGGCCTACATGGAGTTTTCTCCTGGATTAATGGATAAGAAGGAATACAAAGGGAATTGATGCAAACCGGGTTACTTCACAAGATATCCATCGAGTTCGAAGAACATACAATGATCGTGGTCCGAAGATGGGGGCTTTAGAGGCTCGAGAACTTCACCGAAATGGAGGCCGACTTGTTCGTGGGACGAGAAGTGATGATCATTGGTGTTGGAGCTGTTTCAGGCCAAATACCCGGTCGGGTATTTTGATAGGGTATTTTGCCCTGACCAGAAGACCCCCCTATCGTGACAGCAAAATACCATGTCGGGTATTTTTGCCCCACGATAGAGTATTTTTTACTTTGACAGCAGAGGACCTATTTTCAGTTTCCTTTGCGGATTATGTGACTTTTACTCCAAAACCCGAGTTTCCTTGTTATTTTTTGCCCAAAAACTTTGTAGCCTATATAAGGGGTCGAATTAAGTTTTTTAGAAGGTAATCAACAATTTTATTCAGAAATAAAAGCCTAGAATTGGTTGTTCAAACACCAACTTCTCTTCTTCTTCTTTCTTGGTCATGGAATCGATTCAGCAAGAAGAATCCGGCGTTTTCTGCTAGCTCATCACCCTAGCCTAATAGTCCTTCGTATACGTGGCCCTCTTCCCGACTTGTGGATTTGGTTTGGGTAATTATCCATTTTGTGATCGTTGTGCTTCTAATCATTTTTTTGCTGCGATTCTAATTGTTTAATTCTAGGAGTTGGAGCCTCGGCTTATATCAGGAGGGTTTGTAGATTGAAGAAATCCCTCTATGGTTTGTAACAAGCTAGTAGGGTGTGGTATGCTAAACTCATTGAATCCCTTTTTAGTAATGGTTTTCAAGAGTCTCTTGCAGACTATTCAATCTTTCTCTCTACTTTTCATGGTGCTCTAGTGGTTGTCATTGTTTATGTTGATGGTGGTTAGGAGTGTTAATCTTGATGCAGTGATGATAGTTAAAACCATGTTATTGGGCATGTTCAAAATGAAGGACTTAGGTGAGTTACATTATTTCCTTTGATTGGAAATTACTAGATCACTTGAAGGTATTCATGTTTGCTAGCGAAAATACTGTGTGGAAGTTTTCAAAGAAGCTGGCTTTGATGAATGCAAGCCTCCTAAGACTCCATCTAGTGTTAAGGAAGTTCTTTCTGCAACAGATGGAGAGCCTTACCTGGACATTCCTATCTTTAAGCATCTTCTTGGCCAATTGCACTATTTGAATAGTACCAGACCAGATATAACCTTTATTGTGCAGCAATTGTGCCAATTCCAAGATGCTCCAACTATTGTTCATAATAAGGCACTCCATCGTGTTTTCACGTATCTCAAGAACTCCCCGGGACAAGGTTTATTATATCCTCATGATTCTGTCGTTCAGCTCCTTGGCTATAGTGATTCAGACTAAGCCACTTGTCCTTATTCCAGAAGATCAATCACTGGCTTCTACACTTTTCTTGGAAAAAGTTTGATTAGCTGGAAAAGCAAGAAGCAGAGCACAGTTTCTCGATCTTCTTCTGAGGCAGAGTATGGAGCTTTGGCTCTTCTCAACTGTTAAGTTCAATGGTTGGTTCTGTCATTGAAGGACTTTAGCATTAATCATTCTCATTCGGTAACTGTGTTTTGTGATAATAAATTTGCTATCCATATAGCTCGAAATCCAGTATTTCACGAGTGTACGAAGCATATTGAGGTGGACTGTCATGTCATTCGTGAACGGTTGTAGAGTGGACTGATTGATCTTCACCATTTGTCCACAACTCGTCAACTTGCGGATGTGTTTACTAAAATCTTGGGGAATATTGACCGGTTCAATTTCCTTTTGTCCAAGCTGGGAGTGTCTAGCAGACCCTCGCCAGCCTGCGGGGGCATATTGGAGAGCTAGGTTTATCCCAAGCTACAGCCTACAACAACAACTATGATCTTCATTGTGTTCTTCTGCTCCTGTAGGTTGCTGATGAAGTGAAGAGAAGAAGCAGAGGAGGAAGTCCTCTTAGTGGAAGCATGAAGAATCGCTTGAACGGTGTCGTTCGTCTTTTATCCAGAAACGAGGATTAGAGTTGAAACGCCATCGTTCCATTATCCATTAAGTCTTCGTTTTAGTTTAAACGTAGTTAGTTGATCATTAGCCATATGTATAGATGTCATTGGTTTTTTTCCTGTTTTTTGTTACTGTTGATTAGTCGTTGCTAATCACAAACCTTTTTGCCCTGTTGTACAGACCTGGTATATATTAGAATACAGAAAACCAGAAGGTCTCAAGTTGATAACCCTTAGCAAAAAACCATAATCTCATTTTCTTCTCCATCAAGCTTCAATCTAATCTCGTCAACCACCCTCCCTGTCCCAAAGTCCCGACCGTTGTCATTAAAAGCTCCTCCACCGACATTGTCGACGTCCTCTGCCACCTAGATTCTCTACCACTCTTCGAGCCACCATGCTTTCCCTTCTCCAAACCTCAATCTGATCCCCAATCACCTCCCTCCACGTCCCAAAGTCTCGACCTTAATTGGCCATGACAAACATAACCAACAATAAACTCAAGATTTCGGCGACGACATTGTCTCATTTACACTTTAGGAAGAGGCTCTGATGCGTTGTTTATTGGCTTATTGCTACATATAGCTAATTTCATCTTTATTGGATTTTTTTTTTTTTTTTTTGTCATAGATAGTTTGTAATAGATAGTTCTTTACAATGCATTGGAAATATAAATGCGGTAGTCAACCAACTGGGTTGCTACCGATGCAAGGGCCGTTTGTGCCACGCGATGGGCAGCCCTGTTAGTACTACGAGGAGCAAAAACAAAACAAACAACTGCAAAAGAGGTCTTCATGACTCGCACTTCTTCCAGTACCGCTCCACCTCTATCATGGCAGACGTCGTCCTCCATTGCTCGTCGTATGACCAATTGTGAATCCCCACAAAAGCAAACAGATGAGTAGCCACGGTGTAAACTCCAAACCATTGCATCCCTTAAGGCTAGTAATTCAAGTAAGAATGGATCGGAGATACCTTCGTAGTACTTACCGTAGGCGCATATCACTGCGCGGTCCCCATTGAAACCCACAAATCCGACGCTGCCCCCGACTCCCTTCTTTGTCGCTCCATCAAACCTCATGAGGATACCGCCTGGCGGGCAGGAAGGTTGGGGAGGAAGGCTGCGAGGAACTCGTACCGAAGCGGCCTGGCCATGCTGATCAATTGTAGCCTCTTTCCACTCGGTAACTTGATTAGTGAATTGGCGGTGCAATGGACCTGGTAGATACTGAATGTAGTCGTATGTAGACCAGCATCTCCCCTTCCATAATCTCCAAACCAGGAAGACCACCTCTGCTATGTCCATTTTGGAAAGCTGCATAGAGAAAAATAGATTGGACCAGGCCAAATCGTAATTAACAACAGCCATGGCAGCCCGGATATGCTCCTTCCCTGCTAGTGTCCATAGCCCTCGCGCGATCCTGCAATCAAAGAAGCAGTGAGAGATCGATTCCACGGCAGCTGAGCAAACGAGACAAGTGTCAGTGTCACATAAAGACTTCCCTTTCAGTATTTGGCGCATTGGAAGGAATCCACGAACTACTCGCCACAAGAAGACTTTAAGTTTGGGGGGAATAGGCAGGTTCCACAAGAATTTCCAGAATTGTTGATTAAGGAAAGGAGGTAAGGGATCAAACTCAAGGTGTCGGCCAGATGAGAGTAGGTGATACCCGGTCTTGACAGTGTACTGACCCGTCGCCGAGAAATGCCATATAAGCTTGTCTGGTCGCGGTGCAGATGGCAATGGAATAGAGAGAATCCACTGTACACTCTCTGCCTCGAATGAAGCGCGGATAAGTTCGCTGTTCCAGGTCCGGGTGAGAGGATGAATGAGCGAAGCAACGAACTGATTCTGCAGAATAACCCCGGGCAGCAGCATAGGCGAAGAAGGAGGGGAAGAAGGTAACCATGGATCATCAAGGATGCGAACAGCCGTCCCACACCCTATCTGCCACCTCAAACCACGCTTAAGGAGTGCCCGCCCTTCCAATACGCCCTGCCAAGCCCACGACGGACGGGAGCCTGCTGACGCGTTGAGAAAATCAGCCGAGGGATGATAACGAGCTTTGTAGAGGCGCGCGAGGAGAGAAGCTGGATCCTGCAGGATCTTCCAGGCTTGCTTGCCCAGCATGGCAACATTAAAGAGATCAAAATCTCTGAACCCCAATCCGCCATGAAATTTGCTGACACAGACCGCAGGCCATGAAATCCAGTGCATTCCCCTGTCTTTATCCTGACCTGCCCACCAGTATCGACTCAGCTGGCCATTCAGACGGCGACAGGACGTGGACGGCAGCCGGAAAGAGAACATAGCATACACTGGAGTTGCCGAGCCTACTGCTTTGATTACAACCTCTTTAGCCGCTAGTGAAAGGGACTTCGAACGCCAGCTTTGGATACGGACAGCCAAGTTATCCTCCACAAACCTGAACGTTTGAACCTTTGAACGCTGAACTTGGGCAGGCAATCCCAAATATTTCTCCATAGAACCGATGGATGTGACCCCAAGCAGGGCTGCCATGGCCACCGATTCCTGATCAGACATGTTTGAGCTGAAACAAACCGATGATTTCTGAAGATTGACTCGCTGTCCACTAACTTCTTCATACAAATGTAGCAATTGGAGCAGGTTATGGCACTCCGAGGACGTTGCACGCAAGAACAAGTAAGTGTCATCGGCGAAGAAGAGGTGAGAGAGAGTCGGAGCCAACCTGTGGATCTTGAGGCCATGAAGATGCTGAGATTCCATCGCATTAGTAAGCATAGCCGAGAAAGCCTCAGTGTAGATAGCAAACAGCAGAGGCGAGAGCGGGTCTCCTTGTCGTAGACCACGTTGGGGACGAAAGTAACCATGTTCATTACCGTTTAGGAGAACAGTGAAAGAGACTGTGGTGACACAGGCTTTGATCCACTTCATCCAATGATCATTGAACCCAAGAGCCTCCATTACGGCGAAGAGAAATCCCCACTCGACCCTGTCGTATGCTTTTTCCATGTCCAGCTTTAAGGCCATCCACCTATCCCGACCCTGCGATTTCGTTTTCAAATATTGCATCACCTCCTGGGCTATCAGAATGTTATCAGATATATCTCGACCTTTGATGAACCCATTCTGAGTATCCGAAATCACAGAGGGAAGAATCACCGCAAGCCGAGAAGTAAGAACTTTGGAGATGATCTTGTAAAAGACCTGACAAAGGCTGATGGGGCGCATCTGGCGCATAAGATCTGCATTTACTACCTTGGGAATCAAGGTGATGATAGTGTGATTGAAGTTCTGCAGGAGTCGGCCTGTTCTGAAGAATGAGAGGGCTGCCCGGCACACTGACTCCCCCACGATGTCCCAATAAGACTGAAAGAAGCCCCCCGTTAGGCCATCGGAGCCCGGCGCTTGCCCCTTTCCTATGCTGAAGGCCATCTTTATTGGATTTTGATCACCGTAGGTATCGATTTCACAGAACAAGAAAAATTTGCCTTTTATTCCTTTTTTAAGGGCTAAATTACACGTTTGGTCACTCAAATTAAACAAATCTTTCACGTTTGTCACCCGAATTACTTTTCTTTCTTATTGGCCACTAACTTTATGAATCATTTCACTGTTAGTCACCGGCCGTCAAACTCCATTAACGCCGTTAGATTTTTTATTATGTGGCAAATAGAACTATTGACTGGAGCGTTAACTTGATGACATATTTTTTTTTAAAAAATAGTGAGTCATGTAAGTTGACTACCTAATCACCATCACCCAACCCAATACCTATTATTTAATTTATTTTTACTTTTTAAGGTCTAAAAAGAAAAAGAAAATTAAACCCTCGGTCTCCCGTTCTTTCCCAAGCCGTTCCATTCTCAGCTTGATGGTTGACGAGCTGCCCCTTCACCCCGAAACGATTGACGAGCTGCTCCTTCACTCGATCTAATTTGAATGGAACGAAGACTCTAATTCCTTGCATCATACTTCTTATTAGACTTCATATCTTTGCTTGGAGTTAGAGTGGAGAGAGTCCGGCGGTTAGTGTTTTAAATGAAAGGAGAGTAAAATTGTAATTACGTTGAAAACTATGAACGGGCAAATAGTAAATATTAGGGCGACAAATAGCAGTTATTTTTTTTAAACCATGAACTTCCGTCTCTCTTCTTTACTGGGGATATAAATTAAAGATTCAAAAAAAACATGTAGTTGTATTCTATTGGGGCGGTGCACCCAAGAATTTATCCCGTCCTCCTCTTCCCCACCATCGAGAACTTACTGAGATCAGCAAAGTCGTCGGATCGAGAAACCTCTTGACCCAACAATTTCGTCAAAAGTGGAAAGAAATGGAACGGTGAAAGTGAAGAGTTTCCAAATATCCAACGTTCTGTATTACGGGCAAACATTACAACAGTGACTTCTGAAATGTAGAAGACACGATTTATGTCTTTGCTAAAGAAGAATGAATAGGAGAAACCGGACATCAAGCTGATAAACAAATACAAAGAACAAATGAATGGTTTAGTTACTGAATCTGTAGTAATCTTCTGTAAATCTGTAGTCTGTAATATCTCCCTCCAACCTAAAATAAATAAATCACCTTCTTTCTTCACCCAAAGAATGATATGTAAATATATATCAGTAAACGAATTGTCTCGGTCTATATCATGAACCCTTTGTACTAATTTTATATTGTATCATGAATCCCAGAATGTGCAGGAGGTTTCCAAATCAACACAGTCATTCGCTGCTTCGAGATTGCGATGATTGGTTTAGCTGTTGCTGATGATGATATGCATTCATTTGACCGGTAAGTTGACGCTGCTGCTGCTGCTGCATTAGAGGATGATTAGCAGGAAGCTGCTGGTGCTGCTGCTGATGAGCATCTGCTCCTCCACGCTCTGATGCAGAGAGCCTCAGTCGTTGGACTTCTGCAACCAGTGCTTCATTTAGAGCTGCCAACACATCAACAAGTGGGGGAAAGAATCAGCATTCGGGTCTACACTTTAGAGATCCACGCCTAAATTGGAAGTCAATAAGTATAATTGACTATCGTTGACCAGTACTAAGACCGCCATTTTGTTAGTAGATGCTCAAAGTTGTTTTACCAACCAAAAAAAAAAGGATGCTCAAAGTTGAGGAAGAGAGGATCAGTCGAAATGTTTGAGGAAATTATTGAATCGATTTCACGACATGAAAATTATGGACAAACTATGTACCAAAAACTGCCCGAAAATCCGGGGTTCTTTTTTCCCCCGAAAACCTTGCATCCGAAGCAATGAGACCAGACAACCTACGGCTAACATATTCGTCTCAGATAATTATCTCGACAAATATTTAATGCATCAAAGGAGACGTACCATCTTTGAGCTGGGCCTGTTGTTCCATTGCCTGAAGACGGAATTTGAGTTCATTGTTCTGGCTTGTGAGATTTGAGGAATCACGCTGCATATAGGCGAGATTACTTGTAAGTAAAGAAGAACAGAAGGACTACGGACCAAGAGAAATCTTGTTGATGAAGTAAGACTACCAACCTGCAAAACTGTAACCTGGGCAGACAATGTAGTTGCTTCTGACTGTAAAGTTTGCACCTTTTGCTCCAATTCAGAAATGTACCTCATTTTGCGCTCCTTAGACCGAGCAGCAGACAGACGATTTGCCAATATCCTACAGTTTTTATTGAACAGAAATAAGAAAATGTTTCTATGTGAACTGATAAAACAAGAAGAAAAGAGATAAGATTACCTTTTAACCCGTTTTGGATCACCCATTGCAATCTCGGCAAGCTTGTCATTAGCCATGATCTTCTTCAGTTCCCCTTCAGTAAACTCGCCATTCCCAAACTCCAAGTTGAACTTGCTGAAATTCCCTTGCATTGAGCTGGAAGGGGAGTTTAGTTGACCAACTCTGTTCATGCTAGGAGGAAGTTTCATCGACTCGTCATCCAACCTTAAACCTCCCATGAAGCTATCCATTGACACGCTCCTATGGTGTAGACCAGCAGGCCCAATGTCAGCATCAGCACTCCTCTTCAGCCCCTTAACATGACTCTCTGCCTCGTTATCACTGCTCTCAGACCCATTCATCTTAGTCCCACTCGCCCTGCTGTCCAAATCCTTATCCTCGGTGCCCGAAGAGTTCAACGGATCAATATTATCCATTTGCATATAAGCACTCAGCATCTCATCAGTAGGCTCCCTTTCTTGCCGTCGCCTCTCACCCATCCCTTCCACATTACCATCCCCATCTCCCCCCCAACCCAACTCCTGTTTCACAAAATCGAATCCACCTTGACCCGGTAAAGGTAGCAACTGAGGGGAAGACTGGATCATGGCACAGAACCCTAATGGAACAGTGTCACTCATCGATCGCCTGTGTCCTCTACGAGGTGGCAATCCAGCCTTTTCCTCCATAGACAACGGAGTTGGAACCGAGGGATGATGAGGCATGGGACTCAATGGAGGGAGGCAATCAAGAGAAAACATGGAGGATTGAGACAATGACCTCAAATGAGACGGCCCTACTCCGCTAGCACCGGCGCCACCACCCCCAGAACCAAAGATATGAGGGTTGTTTGGATGAGAAGGAGGCAACCCAATTCTCTTGTTGCTGTTGCTGCTGCTGTTGTTGTTGCTCTCTTCTAGGCCTAGACTTGGTGAGGATTGCCGCATGGTATCACACATTTGAGGTCTCACAAAAACCCCTCGGGAAACCTTATTTAAAACCACAGATTGGGGCAGTTGGCAGCTGCTTCAGTAGCTAGCCGATGAAGAATGGTACAGTACGGATGATCACAGAATCTGTACCACCACAACAACCATCAAAACTTTGCTCAACATTTTTTATCCGACTGACAAACCGTATATATGACCAAGACCACAAAAGGAAGAAGGGACTGAATTGAACCCAATTTCAAGACGCAACGAACAACAATTCAAACCCTAGCATCTAGATGGGAGAATGAAGCAAGACAAACAAAAATTGCGACCACCCATATTTAAATTCAGATAAAAAACAATACTTTTCGGAAGTACCAATGATGAAATGAAATGGGTCATTCTTACTTCCTTCTTCCCTCCTCTCTCTCTTCTTCTGCTTGATTCAATCGGCGGAAAGGGACGTCCGTACAATGCGATACAAACGCCAACTGTAAGGAGAAGGGGAAATGGCGGTAATTACAAAACCGAGTCCTCCTAGCGGCTTGTCCGATAGCTGAAGGAGAGCAGGAAAATATCGAAATGGAGAACAAAGCTTGAAATGACATTAAAAAAAAAAATTTGAAAATGAGGTTTCTGGTACTCACTGTCGGCTTCTGTTGTCTTCTCTGTTTCTGGTTTGTCCGACCGCTTAGCTTAAAAAAGCAAGAAAAAGAAAAAAGAGAAGGGAAGAAGAAGCGCGTGGCGGGGAGTTCACGCGGTTTCTTTCATTGGCGAATCAGTTCTTCAAAAGAAAATTTATTCATAGGCGGCACCGATGTTTTTGCAGAGGAGCTCGTCGTCTTTCTCCCTTTCTTCTCTTCCAACAGACACAGGCTCCTTTATCTCCGCCGTCTATTGGGCAGTGGCCGGGCGATTCAGTAGTTTAGTTTAAGGGTCAATTACATAAACGGTCACTAGACTTTGGGTCCTTAAGTAATCGGCCGCTGAATTTTGATTTTAGAGAATTCATAATTATATACTGAATTGCTATTACACGAGTCGCTTGGTTAATCTCTATTGATATTTGTATTTTTACACTTTAATATATCGATTCATAGAAAGTAATGATAAAGGAAAGCTAGCATTGACTCTCTAATTAGATTAAAAGAATATGGTTATATGCGAAGTGATGATAAAGTAACGACAACGGGTTTGATTCGCAACTTAAACAACATGTGCACATTTTCCTTTACGGATAAACTCGGTTTCTTCTACTATCACATGATTTGGGTTATGGGCAAATCTTTAAAAGAATGAAGATAGCACGAAGATCAAGGGCCGAGAGACTTTAAATCAAGCTAAATTCTCGTATGACTTTGAGTATGCTCATGAGTAATGCAGAGGCCGATCACTGCCATCTACATTCGGGAATTTTTAGGTTGTGATGGGAAGTTTCAATCTCACATAAGTATAGACGATGTAATCACATAATGGATTACCTTGCGAATCATAATTACTATACTAGTCTATGTTACCATTTTGCTACTTGTAACGATTCAGGGTTACAGTATTGGACTTTGACTTGCTCAAGGATGAACCCCCTATTTGGTTAATGAATAAAGGCTGAGACACTTTTTAAGCATCCCGTTTTGGACAAGTATGGTTCGGATAAAATATGACATCGAACTTTTATATCGATTAGTGAGGATGTACATAAACGTTTTTCTTACTTGTACGGTTTTATTTGCTTAGTAATCTAGTTCATCCATGGAACACGTAAGAGAAGGTTTCTACAACTTTAACTTCGAAGACATGGAACAATGTTATCCAGAATGCAGATATATTGAGGATTGAAATTCTTGTATCAAGACACTATATTCGTAGGAATAAAAAAAACTTATGAGAACACTATAATGTGAATTTCCAAGTTTAAGTAACAAATTGTTAAAAGTTAAAGTTGAGTGATCAATTGTTGTGATCCTAAACTTTAGTAACCATTTGTATAGTTGAGAGTTGAGACAGTTTAATGGTTATCAACTTCTTAATTTTTTATTTTTATTTTGGAATTTCATTAAAAGAGAGATTCGGCGGCCTTTTCATACCAGGTACCATCATTAATTTTTCAAATTTTGTTTCCCAATTATGCTTTACCAAACCGAAACGTGGCAAGAACAAGATAGGTTGCATAATCATGGGTTATGCATAACTAAATCCAGACCCTTCATTTAGAAAATCCAGATCTAAAGATGGAGAATTAAAAATCATTTTTATTTTCCCTAGATTTCTTAATCGGTTCATATCTTTTTCGTTTTAACTCGGATTAATTTTTTTTTGCACAGGTGGAACGAGTTCATCGTGCTCTACAAAATGAGACCAATTTTCAATATTTTTTTAGAACAAAAAATTCTGGCCTCTCGGTACCAACTGCATATCATATGGTATTTTCTTTGTTTTTAATTCGTTTTTGAAAACGTTTGCACAGAAGGGACGACTTCATAATGATCTATTGGATCTACAAATTTCTGAGTGAACAAATTACAGTACCAAAAAATACCACACAATACCATACAATACCACCATGGTACGAGGTGGTATCTTATGGTACACAATGTTAAAAGTAGTAAATGACAGTTAATATATTTCTACTATCATGTATTCAACCATCCTACAGTCTTGGTTTGTTCATACCACCATGGTACGCGTTTCAAACCATAGGTATGCCCTTATTTCAATTTCAGTCAATACCATATGATATAGACTGGTAAAAAATGGGTCAATTTATTTTGTTTGAAAAATATATCAAAGTGGATATCATTTTGAAAAGCACAATTAATATGATCTAACTGTGTAAAAAAATTAAATTTCGACTTAAAACGAGTGAGAAATCGTCCGTCAAAGATTTAGAAGTGGAAAATTGAAGGTTTTCCAGGAGGGAGAGGGATGTTAATGTCATGCTGATGTGGACGGGTTACTCATAGTTACTCACCATAAGGTTACTGACCTGATCCATTCCTGTATTTTTGGTTAGATAAAAAAAAAGGTATTTTTGGTTATCATAGAAATTCCATTTATTAATAATTTTGTTTTAACAATATTTTAAATGTTTCCTCATGTTTCAGACTTTAATCCTTATCAACAAGAGTTGAGTCTGTGGTTTAGCACAGTAATAATTTTTTCGATCGAGATGGAGAATCGAATTTTTCAATATTTATTTTAATATACTTTATACATCGATGAATGAAGATATTATACCATTCTGAGCAACTCTCGTCTTTATGTTATTACAATTACGTGTCACGTAATTAATTAACTTATATTTTGCCTAATAACTCCATATATTTTCATGATAAGGAACTCGTTCGATTTAAAAAGAATCTTATTTTACGTTAAACAGTAATCTGAATATATATTTTTAGGACAAATGGTTAGCTAGATTTGAACTCAGAAACCGGGTGTACAAGTGACGTACATATGTTCGCTCACACGCTACTGGAGCTATGAGGGTAAGAAAATGATTCATCTTTTGACTATTTGGACACTCTGCACATGGCGTCGGTTTGATGTTGCTAGTATATAAATCCTCACTATTCCAGTTAGCTTTTAATGTTACTAGTAAACATTAGTACTAAATACGCACACTCTTGTATCCACTACACTATTATGATCAAATGATGTGACTATAATATATGGTTTTATTTAACTACAACCACATACATAGAACCTTCAAGTTACCCGTACATATCACTCCTAAGTCCTAATCACTACTTGGAGGCGAAAGAGAAACTATTCATTTCATCGTGAATGTGAATGTGAATGTGAATGTATAGGATCAGTGGATCACTAATCTCTACGGCTATTTTAATCTATCTATTTGAAAAAGAAGAAGAAGAAAAAGAGTAAGTTAGGTTGGGAGGTCATGCGGCTTGTAGTGTGCATCCAACCTCAATTTGAAGATTGGCGGTCAACGTCAATGAGTTGGGATTATCGTTAATTACCTTCCCAATTAATTACTTCCTGCAGTTATGGCGCTACACGTGTTTGCTTCGTTTCTTGTCTCTGTATTTTGCTAATCCAGTTTTTTCGATCAACCTAAATAATCGATTAGTCGTATTTTCTTTCTTCTTGCTTGAATACCGCACACAATTCACAAACCACGGCAAGAATTGATAAATCATGGTGATATTTAGTTTTCCATATTGTAAACAATTTAAGTTTTTTATTCTCCGGATTGTCGGATATAAAAATTAAAACTTTTATTGTTTGGTAACGATATCCTGTAACATTCAATTAAAATAGAAATTTTGTTTTTTCAGCAAATGACATGTTTAGCCTTAATTAAAAGAATCTGAGTGACTCGCAAAATCTTTAAAACTTATTGATAAGAATATATTTAGAGGGATAATGATGAACCACCAAACGCAACCCACGCAACCCCAGGCCCACGACGTTCGGCTCGAGCCCATCAGCCCAATCCCCGCTACACGTGCGAGTAGTCCACCGTTGCAGCTTGCTTGCCAGTAGAATAGGAGTTGTTTCATTCTTGTTATTTTGGTTTGTTATTTTGGTTGTTTCTGCATTTGAATGTTGTTAGCAGAATAAGCACTTTCACACTAAGTGGAACGTGGAGTTAGAGTCCCAATAGGTTAGCTGATTTCTAGTCTTTCTTGTTATGGTTTGAACAGCTTAAAAGCTGGAACGTGAATGGAATAAGGAAGCACATTTTAGCAAAGAATTTCCCTCTGGTTATCTCTCGCCAAGAAAAGAGTGAACTGGCTCAATCCCGCCAAGAAAGTGGATCGATACATTGGTACAACTTCAGCCCTTATCATCTGGTATCAGAGCCCGACATGGGCACCCACGCGCAAAGAATCGAGGCTCTCGAAGCCATCGAAAACAGCAACCAACAGAACTTCCAGGCCATTCAGGACCAGCTGGCCGCCCTTCAGCTAGCCATGACGCAGCTCGCGCAAGCCACCGCTGCCAAAAATACGGCTACACCATCGAAGGAAGGAGAAAGTCTGTCAATGGTGGTTCCTACCATCCGA